AAATAAAATAAAATAAAACATATAAATATTATGAAAATAATAAGTAAATATAAAAATTTTGAAAAGATAAAATTAAAAATTAAATATATGAATTTTTAATTTTTAATTAATAGAGACAATTCATAATTGATTTTTAAAAGTTTGACGGTCCCCAGCAGAGTCGCCAAGCTGTCATAACCGTTTTTCGTCCGGGCACGAAATTTTAAATTTGGCTGGAAAATTGATTTAAATAAATATTTTTGAAAATAATTTGAGAGTCGCCATCGGCCTTTTGGGTTAGGTAGGTCGAATACCTAAAAATTATTTTTTTTAAAAGAGTTTTAAAGAAAACACTAATAAAAAAATGAACTGGTCTGCGTTTATAACCAAAAATTCATTCTTTTTAATAATAAAAAGGGATTCGTGGTCGGTTACGTTTAGGGAAGGATTAGCACCCCTACAACGCCCAAAATTGGTACTTTTTAATTATAAATTGTCTCTATTATTAAAATTTAAAAATTCAAAAATATATTTAATTTATAATTCTATTATTTCAAAATTATATAAAAAAATATTTATTTATTTAAAAATATCAGAAAAGAACTTCTAGGTGCCTTAAGACAGCTCTTTTCTTTCTATTTGATTAATTTACATAAAATTAAATAATAATTTTTTTATAATATTTAATTTTAAAATACCAGAATAGGACATCCAGTTGTATTAAGACTGTCCTTTTCTTCGATATTGAAAAATAAATATTAAAATAATTTATTTGAAGTAAATATTTATTTATTATATATATATATTTATGACTATAAAAATATTTAAATAAATAAACAAGTAAAATTAAAACAATAAAAATACAACTAGAACAATATATTTTAAATAAATAACTAAATGATAGAAAAAATAAAATTAAAAACCTAATTCATAATTAATCAAAATATTAGGGATTAAACATGCTATTTATTTATTTTATTTATTTAGTGACTAAAATAAAATTATCTAAAATTCGGATATTATAATAAAATAAATTAAAAATATAAACTAGGGATTAAAATATTATTTATTAAAATTAAGGGATTAAATCTGTTATTTATCCTAAATATATTATTTTAATAAAAAGGACTAAAATAAATAAAATTGAAATTCGAAGACTGAATTAAAAGTATTTATAAATTCGATTTAGTGACTAAAATGTAAAGTTTACAAGTTAGGAGGATGGCGGACGGGGTTTAACTATTGTCTAATTACGCGCATAGTCCTTCCCGAAACGACGTCGTTCGGGAAGGTCTATAAAAGGTCAAAAACAGCCGGCCCTTCGGGCCATCTATTTCATTTTTCAAATTTCATTCTCTCTCTAACTGAGAGAGAATGAACAAAGCTCTCTCAGCTCTCTAGCTTCCCTCACCGGAGGGAAGCCGGTCACCGGACGGCAACCGTCTGCCGCCGTGACCATCACCGTCGGCCACCGCATCTGGTGGCCGGAAAATCTTATTTTTCCACCATTAAATAGATCGGACCATCCTAAGGACGGTTCCGGTGTTATTTTCTCCTAAAAAGCTCCCAACCGGAGCAAATCTAGGAAAATACCTTCGGTTTTCGAAGGTTATCGGTGACGTTTGGAGGGTTCCGGTGGTCGTGGCTTCCTCGGTAAGCTTCTCTCCTTTTTTTCCTTCTATTTTTGGTTGCTGGTTTGTGGGATGTTGACTGAGATCGTTGGTAGTAGTTTTCTTTTATATTATTTCTCTGTTTTTTTTTTGTCTTCTTTTGGTCTCTTTTTTTTTTTTTTCTTTTTTTTTTCAGGTTCGGGTGGTGGCTTTTATAGCCACCACCGGTGTGGCCATCGGACTGGTCCGAAGAGGGGGTCTCGGTGAGTCACCGGACTACCAGTGGTGACTCACCCCGTAGCCATGGCGTGGACGGCTGGCGTTGGAGCTTCTGGAGCCTTCGGTTGGGACGTGGCAGCGGCGGAGGCGGCAAGAACAACAACGGCGGCCGCATGGCCCTAGGGTATCATACCCTAGGGTTTCCATCTGGAGCCATCTGGACCATTGGATCTTGCCAGATCCAACGGCAACAAGCTGAGGCGGCTGGGATTAGGGTTAGGAAACCCTAACTGAAACCCTAAATTGTTTTTGGGTTTCAGTTTGGTTTGGGCCAGAAAATTGGTTTGTAATTAATTATTTTTAATAATATTTATTTACGTATTTAATATTTTAATAATAATAATGATAATAATATAATAATAATAATAATAATATAATAATAATAATAATAATAATAATAATAATAATAATAATTAAAATATGGGTAAAAAAAATTAGTATCTTCAACTCCAAAAGAAAGTTTTTCGTTTCAGTTTTGATCCTGACTTTCGAGGACTGTTCCGACACTTTGGTGATTAATCAAAGAGAAGTAAGCTCCTGTTGGCCCCTTGGCTAACAAAGATGAATGGTTACCTTTCTCCACCACCTTCCCTTTGTCTAACACAACAATAACATCTCAGTTTTGAATGGTGCTTAGTCTGTGTGCTACGACAACACTGGTTCTCTCAACCATCACTCGCTCCAATGCCTCTTGCACTACTTTCTCAGATTTACCTTCAAGTGCACTTGTTGTTTCATCTAACAATAACACCGTCGGAATATGGCTCGGGCTATAGCAATCCGTTGCTTCCACCACAAGAAATTTTTACTATTGTGATAAATTTAAATTTGTTAAAATTATTTTTGTCACTATTATAATAGTAGTTTTTTGGTAACAAAATAAATAATCATCGCATTAAATTAAAAAAAGATATACAATTATGACAAAAGTTAAAATCGTCATAATAATTTGTCATAATTAGCAAACATGTGTAACATATGGTGACAAAATAAATTTTATTATGATTTTTTGTCACAAATGTTTCCCTCCATTTTTTTGCACCAAATTAAAGACATACAATGACAAATTTTGTAACTAAAAGTTTTAGTAACTATGACAGAAAAAATTGTCACAACAAATAATGAAATTTAGATTTGTTGTGACAAATTTTGTTTGTAATTATATATTTTAATTATAATGACAAAATGTAAAGTCACAAATGATTATCTCTAATTTTTTTTGTACAAAAACAAAATCATATAGTGACATGTTTTGTAACTATAAGCTATAATTATTGTTACAAAAAAGTTGTCACAACAAATAATGAGATTCAAATTTTTAGTAAAAAACAGTTTTTGTCGTTATATGTTTTAATTATAGTGAGAAAATATATTGTCACAAAGATTTCTCTCCATATTTTTTTACGTCAAAAAAGTCATATATTGACAAATTTTGTAACTATAAGTATTAATAATTATTACAAAAATAATATCACAAAAAATAATGTTATTCAGGTTTTCGTGGTTATAAATTTTAACTGTAGTGATAACATATATTGTCCTAATTATTTTTTCTCCACTTTTTTGTTTCAAAAGTTATATTGGCAATTTTATAATTATAATTTATAGTTATTATTATAGAACAATTATCACATCAAACAATAAAATTCAAATTTTTTTAATAAAATATTTTTGTACTTATATATTTTAATCATTATGAAAAATTATACTATCATAATCATTTCTTCCTATATTTTAGTGTAAAAAAAGTTATATAGTAACAAAATATATTGTCATAAAGATTTTTCTCCATATTTTTTGTGCCAAAAAATCATATAGTAACAATTTTTGTTACTATAGTGTTTATAATTATTACAAAAAAAAAACAATCGCAAAAAATAATAGTATTCACATTTTTGTGACAAATTATACTTGTAGTTATAAATTTTAATTATAGTGATAACATATATTGAGATAAATATTTTTCTCCAATTTTTTTGTTTCAAAAATTTATGTTGATAACTTTTGTAATTATAATTTATAGTTATTGTTATAGAAAAAATTATCACAATAGATAATAAAATTCAAGTTTTTTGTAATCAATTATTTTTGTAGTTATATATTTTAATCATTATGAAAAATTATACTATCAGAAACATTTATCTCTATTTTTTGGTGTCAAAAATATTATATAGTAAAAGTTTTATAGTTATTGTTATAGAAAAATTATAACAACATAAAAATTATTTTTTAATTAATAAATTAGTCCTTATCGTGATTGTCCCCAAAATAACAAAATAAAATCTATTCCTCCCTTAATTTTCAATTTGCCCGATACTCAACCCTAACATTCCATCTCCCTCTTCTCTTCACTCGCAGCAACAACCCCCTCAACAACGAACCGAAGCCCTCGACTCTAAGCCACCGGATATGGGTGGCCATTTCTAGTCCGGCCGTCTAACTCACAAGATGTAAGGAACGCCAAGAAAACAACCCTTAATCATCAACAAGACCCACTATAATTCCTCTCCTCGACCGAGAACCAAGCGATGGAACGACCAACATACGCAGTGGCCCTCCGACCCCAAATCAACACCCACTATGCTTCCCTCTCTCCGCCGACCTCATTACCCCGATGAACACCACAGTAAGGTAACCTTACATCCCTAACTTACATTTATTTTTTAGACATTATGAAATTTACATAAAAACAAAGAATGAAATTGTAAACTAGAAACGAAATAATAGTTTAACAAGCATATCGAACACGAAAAAAAAGAAGCTAGAATACCTTGTTGATGGCCGTTGCTTTCATGCGAATTCTTTCATGGAGCTCAATCTCTTGTGAAACATTGGGTTACACCAAACCTACCCCTATTCAGGTCTTTATTTTACTTGATTTCATAATTCTCGCTTCATTAATTGAGTTTTCATCAAAGAGTTTTTGGGTAATTTGTTCTATAGGTTGCATGTATACCCTTGCCTTGACTGGACGCGATATATGTGGGAGTGCAGTTACTAGTTCTGGGAAGGTATATTTCTTTTGATCTTCATCTCTTTTTGTGCCATTAATTTGCGATTGAAGATTTGATTTTTATTGAAATGCTTTTAATTTTCCCATAATGCAGACTGTTGCGTATGCCTTACCTACACTAGAAAGGCTGTTATTTCATCCTAAAAGGGTTTCAGCTATACGAGTGTTAATCCTTGCTCCTGCTAGAGAGTTGGTCGTTCAGTAAGTACTATAAAATCTTTTGAACATTTTCAGCTCTCTATCACAGATTTATTCAGGATTTTGCTTTCTTTGTTCTGGCATAGTGTAAATAAACTAATATATATTTTTATAATGGAATTATGTTATCACAAACCAGTGAACTGGTTTTTGCATTTTACTAGTTTATTGGAAATATTTCTAAGTCTTTTGTTCGATCTTTTTATGCTTCATGTTTGTTGAAAACTAAAAATATGTTTCATGTGTATTTTTGGAAATTCGTTGAGGTTTAAACCTTATTCTACATTCATTTGTTGCAGGGTTCGCAGTATGATAGAGAAACTTGCTCAGTATACTGATATTCGATGTTGTCTGATTGTTGGTGGGCTTTCATTAAGGGTTTGACCTATTGATTTCCTTACTTAGCCGGCTTAATTTGCACTCATTTTATATACAGGCAAAAAGTTATATGTTCGATACTTTCAGCACTCTTTTTTTAATTGTTTCTTTAACTCAGTTGAAACTTCCTCCACTATTGTAAAAAACTATAATCATTGATTACCCTTTCCATTTTCTTAAATGTTTGATTGGTTTTATAAAAAACCTGTTTATTTTTGGAAGTTGATGTCAACTGTTTGTTTAATTATTTGCATTCATAGGCTTACATTGTCTTCTTTTATCTCATGTCATCTTTATAGGCACAAGAGACAGCTTTGAGATTGATGCCTGACATTGTTGTGGCTACTCCTGGACGCATGATAGATCATTTACGAAAAACAATATAAAAAATTGTGACAAGTAATACTTTCACAATAATAAATTATAACAAAATGATTTAGTAACAATAACACATTAAATTTAATCAAAGTAAAAAGTTATGTCAAATTTATTTCTTCATAATATTTTGTCAAAATAAAAAATTACGATAAATTTATTTAATAAAAATAGCAATTTATAATAAATATTAATTTCTCATTATAAAAAATTGTGACAAATAATATTCTTTCACAATAACAAATTGTAACAAATTATTTAATCACAATAAAAAGTTATAAAAATATTTAGTGATGAAATAAAAGTAGCGAGAAAATAAATTTTATTGTAATATGTCTTTTTGTCACGAAATCTTTTTTTTTTGATGTTATAATTTAAGTTAATTGTGAAGAAATTTACTTTTTGTAATAAAATAATTATTTTATTTTAACAAATATTTTTCTTTCTAACTTACATTTAGTGACGAAATAGTAACTGTGACAAAATAATTTTTATACCTTATGTATTTTCGTCACAAAAACCCTTTATATTTGATGTTTAAATATAAGTTAGCTATGACAAAATGTACTTCTCGTGATAAAATAGTTAATTGATTGTGATAAATAGTTTATTGTGATAAGTTAATTATAGTAACGAAATTTCATTGTTACAATAAATATTATACAATGGTAACAAACACAATTTTGTCACAATATACTTTATATGATAAGGTTGTTCTAACAAATATGGTAACAAATAAAATTAGTCAAAATAAATATATCGTGACAAATTTAATACTTTTAGTGATAAATAATTTTGTTAAAACAATCAAAATTTCTTGTAGTGTTCTGCCCCGGATAGTTGTACACCTGTCTCCACACCAGGTATCATAGCCATCAGCAAGGCCGACAATGAAATTACGTGCATTGGCTGCTTCAATGACTTCATATTCATTAGTTTTATCACATGCTCCATACAAAATGTTTTCCTTGATTGTGCCGGAAAATTGTGCCGGAAAATAGTGCTGGTTCTTGGCTAACGAGTGCTATGTGTTTCCTCAATGACCTTAGGTTGTATAATCTTATATCTCGACCATCAATCTTCACTACTTTAAGAGGGTCGTAAAATCTCTCAATCAAACTGATGACTGTTGATTGACCAGATCCACTTTGTCCCACCAACGCTGTTGATTTCCCAGCTTCGATGGAGATTGAAAAGTCCTTCAAGATGATCATATTAGGCCTGGCCGGATATTCAAAATTGATGTCACAAATTTCCACATGTCCTGTAATTTCTTCAGCAATGTAACCGTTAGAGTCGTCAGGTTCAATTCTTGTGTAGCGGTCTGATATAGCAAACAAAGATCCAACAACCTCAACACTCTTGGTCAAGTCTGATGTCATGCTTGCAGCTTTAGCAATGAAAAAACCAGTGTCTGATAAAATGAGGTATGTTTCAAGGAAGGCTTTTGAGGAGATATGCACTTGAGATAAGAGTTTCCAGCCATACCAGAATTCAAAGGCTACAATGCTTGACAAAAGAAATCGAGACAACCCAAGTCCAAGACCAGCAAACCAAGATTGTCTAACATTCTCTTTTCTTCGACTCTCGTGGGACTTCTGTAGCATTTTCAAGATTCAATCTTGAGATGAGAAGGCGGTAATGGTTCGGTGGATGGAAATTGCCTCGGTAGCAAGCTTGTTGCTCTCTTGTGTGCTTCGATTGCTTTTTGGGACATTCTTTTTAGTAAGACCATTCTAGCTAATAAGGAGAGGATGATGAAGGGGTAGGACTACTATCATGACAATGGCAAGTCTCCATGCAATGAATAGTCCCAAGGCACAAGCTAACGTTACACCCAAGTCCAAGACCAGCAAACCAAGATTGTCTAACATTCTCTTTTCTTTGACTCTCGTGGGACTTCTGTAGCATTTTCAAGATTCAATCTTGAGATGAGAAGGCGGTAATGGTTCGGTGGATGGAAATTGCCTCGGTAGCAAGCTTGTTGCTCTCTTGTGTGCTTCGATTGCTTTTTGGGACATTCTTTTTAGTAAGACCATTCTAGCTAATAAGGAGAGGATGATGAAGGGGTAGGACTACTATCATGACAATGGCAAGTCTCCATGCAATGAATAGTCCCAAGGCACAAGCTAACGTTACACCCAAGTCCAAGACCAGCAAACCAAGATTGTCTAACATTCTCTTTTCTTTGACTCTCGTGGGACTTCTGTAGCATTTTCAAGATTCAATCTTGAGATGAGAAGGCGGTAATGGTTCGGTGGATGGAAATTGCCTCGGTAGCAAGCTTGTTGCTCTCTTGTGTGCTTCGATTGCTTTTGGGACATTCTTTTTAGTAAGACCATTCTAGCTAATAAGGAGAGGATGATGAAGGGGTAGGACTACTATCATGACAATGGCAAGTCTCCATGCAATGAGTAGTCCCAAGGCACAAGCTAACGTTACACCCGAGATGGTTTGCACAAGAGAAGACACTCTATCACCAATTAAAGATCTCACCTGTAAACATTCAACACCACAAAAAACATTTGAATTTATCATATAAATCAATTATATGCATCTTAGGGTTTTGAGTTTTTGTTATGTACAATTTTTTAGTTATGCAGCTTGTTTGGACATCTGATATGATAAATATATATTGTCAGGGATCACATTATCTTGTTCATATCCGAATCATGATTAAACAAACAACTCAATATAATCATAAAAAAACGAAGTAAAAAGATGGAAAGAAGAACATGCCCCACTTGCATTTTTTTCTAATCTAGCACAAACAGGGCCACTGGAATTCTCATCTTGGTCAAACCACCCAACTTCGAAAGTCGGTATCTTTGAAAGCAACCTTTCTCTTCTCCTCTTTGTCAAGTGCTCCCCCATGTAAGAAAAATTATAATGCAGAATAATAGTGATTATCAGTGAAAATAGAAAAAAACCCAAGGAAACCTAACGCATAAACCTTGGCCTTTTCTTTAATTTCACCATGATCTGTGAGAAAAAACATTGATATCATTGACCCTATTGTGAAAGTGATGAGTGCTCAGAATCGTTAATCTTTGCTCGTTATTTTTTCGGTTTTGAGGAATTATTACTGCTAAATTGGTCGTGTTATGTTTGTTTTCGTGCAGGTCCTTATTTTTCAGAATTAGTGACAAAACGGGCGCATTCTGTATTTTTTTATTATTTGGTCACGGCTGGAGACATGGGCACGACTGGAGACATGGGCACGACTCTGGGCATGACCCGGTCTGACATGGCAATTTCTAGAAGTTCCAATCAACGACAGTTTCTAGAAGACTTCCCCCGCACGCCTTCTGGAAGATTGACGAGCAGAGTTGCATTAAGAGACTAGTTTAAGTTTGAATTTAAATTAAAAAACAATTATCTTTAGGATTATTTTATTTGTTTTATTTGTTTATCATTTAGGCTTTGAGAGGCTATAAATACCCATTTGGGGTAAGTCTAAACTCATCATTCGGATCAATCTTCTTTTCTCTCTAGTTTTTATAAAAGCTTTCTCTTTTAACTTTCCAAGTTCTTTTCATTTTTTTTATTTTTCAAGCTTTGTTTTCAAATGCTAAGTATGACTTTTGTCATGCTTAGCTAAACTTTTCATAAGCCGAGAGCTGTCGCGATGACTCAATTCCATCGGGAGAATTGAAACATGCCCTTAATATCTTCGGAATATCTCTCTCAATCTCTGTGCTTATTTTTCAAAATCAAAACAGTTTTCAAAATCAAAGATTGACTTTGGTCAAGAGGTTGTTGCGATTAAATGTGTAGGAGGAAAATTCGGCTTATAGAAAGCAATTCGACTTCCTGGGAACACATTTGACGAGATGGCTTCGCCAAGAGGGAATTGAGATCGGAATTGACGGTTATTGAAGCAACAATCCGAGTCGGATGCCACCAACTTAAACGGTAATTGATATGCAACAAATGATGTTGTTAGATTCAATTATCGAAGCTAGAATCAAAGATTGCCTTGGGTATTCGGTATACAAGATAGAGTCACGGGGATAGCCCTTGTAGACAAAGTAACCGACGTGAATCCCGAAGAAAAAATCTTATTCGATGATATAAAGGAAATTGAGTAAAAGCAAAGCTTGAGGCTATTTTCACCGTATTTATTCACAAACTTTATTCTCTTATTTTTTGATTTAAATTACTTTTATTTATTTTTACCATTTTAATTTCATTTTACCAAACCCCCATTTTACTATTTTTCGCATGGTTAAAACCATTCAAACATTAATTTGTGATTTTCTAAGTCCCTGTGGATTCGACCCTTACTTCTCTTTACTACGAATTTCCTTATTTATTAACCGAGAAGAAGGAATTTATTTTGACATCGAAAATGACAGTTGTCAAATTGGCGCCGTTGCCGGGGACTTCGCCAAAGTTACTAGTTTTTGTTTGTTTTTTATTTATGACCAGGACTAATCTGGGCGCATTAGTGGAGTACGACCCGGAGATTGAAGCCAAAGCTAGGAGACTCCACGCACAGACACTTCGGGAAAGAAGGAGACAACAAACAAATCCAGAAGAAGATTTGAATTCACGTAATATAAATCCGATGGCCGATCTTACTATCCGAGAGTTAACCGATGCTCCTACTGAGCAAGGGCTTATGTGCATTGATTTTCCCCAAGGTGAAACTCCGTACCAGTTGAAAACTGGCCTTATTCATCTCCTCCCTACATTCCGCAGATTACCGAACGAAGATCCATACAAACATCTCAAGGAATTTCATATGGTCTACTCTAGCATGAGACCACAAGGAGTAACCGAGGACCAAATAAAACTTAGAGCTTTTCCTTTTTCCTTAGCTGAATCGGCTAAAGAGTGGTTATTTTATCTTCCTCCTAATTCTATTACTACATGGGCTCAAATGACTCGTCTTTTTCTTGACAGGTTTTTTCATGCGAAAAAGTAAGTGAACTACGAAGGAGAATACTTGGAATCAAGCAGCTTGATGGAGAGTCACTTTACGACAA